AGCTGAGCCAGCCGGGAGGAGGAATCTTCGGTGAGTTGCTCCAGGGTGTCGAGCCTAACTTCGCCCATCTACATATTGGAAAGTGTACCGGTTAGTACAATGATCGAGTGACAAATTCAAGAGAGCATACCGGATAAGTGTTACCTCTTTCAATTTAAGGGTCAATTTGACCCAGAGCTCTTCCAGCGACTCTTCCGCCGGGGGGTTTTCTCCCCTTCTCTTCTTGACCGATGGATGGGTGGTGGCCGCATGCTTCACTCTCTTTTTCCCTTTTACCTTGTTGGGGGAGGGATTCACCGGTGCCTTGCCGGTCTGGGCACCTCCCCCGGTCAGAGGGGCTTCCTCCTCGGAATGAACTTCAACTGTCTCCTTCTGGACCGGGACAGTTTTGGGGGCAGAGGAAGAAGAACCACCGGTTGTCTTCGGCATGTTGAACGCCCTGAAATTCATGTCTGCAAAACAAGCAAAAACATAAATGTTCGAACTTCGACCGGTATAACAAAAGCAAGAAGAAAGAGGAAGGAAAGATACCTGGGTGGCTGGGGCCCCCGGCCTCTACAGTGTTGCCCGGGGCGGGTACCCCGTGCCCCGCTGCTTCATGAGCCATAGGGGTACCCTGGCCACCCGGTTGGATCCGCCAGATCCAAGCCCCGTAATGAAACATTTGCCCGGTGAACGGGTCCCTTCGGAGAAGCTTCTCTAAACTCTCTTCCAAGTCTGGGGCGGTGGCCGGCTCGGTAAATTGCGGCTTCAGGATGTGGTCATTCCATGGTAAGCCGGCCAAAGGAGAAACCGTAGGAAATTTTATGAAAACGAATTTTTCCTTCCACTGCCGGTTGCTTTGTGGAAGGTCAGAAATGAATTGGCGACCGTTACGGCCTTTGAAATAGACATAGCCGTCGCAACCCGACTTACCGGGAAGAACTTCAAACAAGTAGAGGAAAAAACGAAGGGAAGGGTCGATTTTGAGATGGATGCAGATATTTACAAAGGCATTAAGGAAACGGTGGGCATTGGGCGTAATTTGCCCGGGGACGATCTTGAAACAGTGGCACAACTCGACCAGGAGGGGGCAAAGGGGGAAGACAGTGCCACTCTCCAAGGAGATGATATGGAACCCTACCCTATCATCCCGGTGAGGCTCGATGATGTTGGGCCAGTTGGGGTCGTATTCAAGGACATACCCCTCCGGGAGGTTCCTTCGGGCCTTATTCTGGGCGATCTTGGAAACGTGGGGGTAGATGTCTGAAGGGTAACTGGTAGGAAGAGGAAAGTAACCGGCCGTTTCCAACCGGTCCACCCATGCCTCATATGATTCGTTATCAGGGTCATAGGGGGCCGGCTCGTCTTCGACCGGTTCACCCCCCTCTTGAAAGATCTGACCGGGCATCTGATTTACTGGCCGCGGGTCTGGAACATTGGGGTTGGGAATCGACCAGGGACCAAGAGCTGGTGAGGATGACCCGGTCGATGAAGAGGAAGAAAGAGATTCCTCAGATGCGCGGGCATCTGAGGCGGAAATATCCTGACTATCAGGAGAAGACATCTACCAGAAAAAGAAATAGAGACTGAAGAAAAACTAATAAGGGAAGGGAGAAAGCTTACTTGACTCGGAGGGCTAGGAAGCGAGAAAGAGGAGCTTGACCGGTGAAACTCGGGAGACGCGCGAGGAAGAAGTGAGGAAGGCAAGGGGGTTGGAGGCCTTTATATAGGCGAGGAGAGGGGAGAAGGAGACGACGTGGCTTCACCAGGGCGCGCCGCGTCAGGCGGTGGCATCATTGCACCTGGGAAGGCGAAACGACACACGACTGACCGCGCTCAGTCTTCAGCACGTGTCATAACTGACACTTTTCAAAATTTGAATTCAAAATTTTGAGCGGGAAAAGTCAAAATTCGAATTTAAAAAGTTCTGTTTCAGATTTTTTACTTCCCGCTTATGACAAAATTGCATAACCGAGAAGTGGAGGGCTTATTGATGGGTGTATTTCACCCATGACCAGTCAAGGGTCCAAATCCGAAAGTTGACCGGTCCAAGAAGTCAAACTTGAAAGGAAGATATGAGTCGTCAGCAAAGGGAGGGCTGGTTGACCAGAAAGTTGACCGGTACACTTCGGGTTAGTATACCGGTCAAACTATTCCATCGCCTAAATTCATCCTCCGAAGTTAGCCAAACCAGCCCTCAAAGATCACCCGGTCTAGTTTTCGAGGATCGGAGAGTGTCGGCAGGAGGAATCCAAAAGGATTTGGACTATAGTGGTTGGAATTGCAGAGGTGCTGAAGGCATCTTTCCAAAGCAGAACACGACGAAGGCGCAGCCCCCTACGCAAGAGCACAAGGCAGCTCAGAAGCAGTCACCTCCCACCTACGGCAGCGTGATCCCACGTGGGTGCACGTGGTCTTGCCCCCCCTTCAGCCTAGTATAAATACGCATGTAAACCTCAGAAGGAGGGATCCGAATTCACTCTCTCTAAACTCCCTTGTAAAAGTGACCGTGCATTCCTTGTTTTAATACAATTCGGGCTACAGGTGTTCCACCTAAAGTCCTACCGGTCATTCTGAGTGTTTTTACTTTCTTTACTTTACTGAATCAAGCCGACTATTCTAGACCCGGTCTAGTATAGTTTGACCGGTCAAGTAATTTACACCATCAACGGGTATTAAAAAATGGTGTATTTACTAAAAATAATGTTGGGGTATTAAAAAACGGTCCGGTCCGAGTCAATACAATTTCAAAATGGGGAACCGGATCAACCCTAAAATCTATAAGGACCGGACCAACCCGGACCGTTATAAAGATTTGAAAAGAGGACCCGTACCAAACCCGGACCGAACGTGGCGGTTCGGTTCCGACTCCCCATTCCTTGACCCGTTTGCCCACCCCTACTCATATATTGAAGGACACATGTTTGATTCCCAATGAGGGTAGTAACTCTACGTATTTAATTGATTGGAAATATATATGAACAGATACCACATTATAATAGAGTTATTAGTGTTCAAAAAACAATTATTATAATTATTATTATTATTTGTCACTCCATATTATTGTTGTTATTATTGCTCTCTCCATCCCCCTTGAATCTTTATGTACACTATTCACATGGTCAAACTATATCAACTTTGTATTCTTGTTTTTGTTACTCATTTGATAAAATAAAATAATCATATCTCATGGGAAATAATACGTGGGTTGGCCCACATTTCCCAATTATTTACGAAAAACAATGAAATCAAACCTCTTTAATAAAACAGAGGAATAAGAGAATATTCCCTGTAGATGCTCTTGCTACTCCTACAAAAGGATAGCCCTCCTTCATCAAGGGGGAGGTCAATTTCACTCTCTCCTATGCCCATACATTTCTCTCTCTAGATTTGTTATATATTTTCTTCTTCAAGAGCTTCAAATGCTCCATTAATGGCTTCTAAGCCCAAATCATGTACCGTGTACAACATCCGATATCAATAAAAATCTTCCGTTGGCAAGGTACCGCCAAAAAAGGCCCGTAGTTTTCTCCTGATTGGGTTTCCACGTCAAAATTCTTGTGTTTATATTTTGGTGCATTTTGTTAAACTAGTTTATCAATCTTGGCCGACTCAGAACTATATACCGGTTGAGATAATTTATACCATCATTTTGGCGTCATCTGTGGGACCCGAGCAAATAGCATGTTGCTCGGTCATGGCTCGTTATGCTCAACAAAAAGAGGGGGGGAGAGAAGGGGGATTTACGGAGTAAAGAGCAAAAAATGATTTGTTGCCGTATGTTAGCGTATATTTATAGGTTTAGGTCCATTCTAATGCAATTAGGATTGGTTCAAGTCCAAAGCACCTGATCTGTTGCCCGTAACTTTAGTTCCGTAACTCGGATTCAGGATCCGCCTGTAATGTTGCGTTTGGTTCAACAAGCTTTACAAAATGGAGTGAGTAGTTATTTGGTAAAAAATCCAAATTATGATTTTACCCCTACTCTAGCCCATTTAGTAATTAATTATTTAAATTAATCAATAATATCAAGCCAAATTTCAAGGCGTTACATTTGTAGACTATGCTTGGAGTAGATAGCGACTCTAGTTGACAAATGACACATTAGTAGCGACCTCTAGCATTGGTTATGACAAAAAATATAATGATTATTTTGAAATTATACTTTAAACCATTAATTTAACACAAACATGACAGAAGGTCAAATAATACTATCCATGGACATGTATCCATAAAAATGGACCACGGACATAATATTTAATAATAGAGGACTAAATATGGAAAACTCTTAGTGTAAAGGACAAATTTAAGAACTTACTCTATTTATTTGGGAGAAGTATCGTCATAGCACTAATATATGTTTGAAATACCAATATAGCACTGCTATGAGATATTGGAACTCGTGTGGATGCAATTTCAAATTTGTCTTTGCATTCTACACTGCCAAAAAATATGTTTAAGTTGTTATACACTTTCAGAACATGGGCATAACAGACTGCCGTCATACCCAATATTACATGTATCCACACTGCCAAAAAATATATTTAAATAGGTATACACTTCCAGAATATGAGCATAATACACTGCTAGAAAGTGTAATTAAGTATTGTGAAGCATAACACACTGCCCAAAACACAGGCTTAACACACTACCAGAAAGTGTAAGCATAACATGACCATTTCACATTGCTAAAAAAGTTGGTATACACTTCCAATTTCGTTTATTAAATGTGTGTAAACAGTAAGGAGTAGCGTGACTGTTCTAAGTGTTACGTACAAAGAATGAGAATAATCTCTTAAAATTATGGATCTCAATAAATATGGTAAATGAAATAATTAGAATAGTCCATTATAATAAAAGAATATGATTAGAAGAGATCTACGCCATAAATAGCCAAATGTGTAAAAAATAATAAGGAAAGGAATGCTATATATGTAATATTAACACTACGTTTGGCTCAAGGATTTTGAAAGGAAAAGAAAAGAAAATGATTTTCTCTCAATTTCCTCACCAAAATGGAAGGAATTTGATTTTCCCTCCACTTGATACATTTTGCCTCCTCATTTTCTTTTCCTTCCACTTTACCTTTCTTTTCTCCTCTAACCAAACAAGAAAAATGGTTTTCCACTTCATTTTCTTTTCTTTTTTTCCCTTCCAAATTCCTTGAACCAAACATAAACTAATCCCCACCAATAGCCCAAGCTCAATCTCGTTTAAGACTTTAAGTGAGAGCATATACAGTTTCACTTATACTCCCGTATGAGTATACACAGTTTTCCAAGGAACTAAAGTCTAAAGTTGGCTTTAAAAAAAGGCATTAGCGCATTGATTGGCAATGGATGGATGATGTATGTGCCTCTTTCATTCACTTTGTTCAGTGGGAAACCAAGGAGAAGGGCTGGCTGTTAGGGTTCTTCTAGCGAGTACTGCTGTGGAATCCGGAGAGGAGAAAACTCTACGCGATCGAAATGGGTCGTCAACCACCACACTTTGAATTCCTCTATTTTTCCATCATCTTTCTGATGACTCTACTTTCTCAAGCTACTGGAAGATTAGGCCCAATTGTTTCTCTGCCAAAACCTGCTGCTCTTTCTTCTTTCAACATCAACTCCACCATTCAAACCTTAAAGGTCTATATGCAACAATTTGTCTCCTCTATTTTCTTTCTATAAACTCTGGGTTTTTTTCTTGAATTATGTTATGTCCCTTTTAATTTCATATTTCTCTGCAATTTTTTTTTAAAATCTTCAAATGTGGCACTTGTGACTCACTCGAAATCTCATTTGTTTTGTTGTTGTTGTTGTTGTTTTATGTGGAGGTATAGAGTGTTGAAACCTGTGATTTCTCAGTGACCATTGTCACAAGCTGTTCTTCCCCTTCCCCCACAAGAGACCAAGTCAGTCTTACCTTTGGCGACGCCTATGGCAATCAGGTTTACTCAACTGCCCTAGTCTATCACTCCATGCCAATTAACAGATACACTTTGAAATGCTCGCAATTTGGCTTTGTTTGTTGACATTTCACAATGTTTTTTTTTTGACATTATGTGTTGGCATTGTTTGGTATTCTCTTTTCCCTCTTGCTTTCTACTTAATGGGGTTTTTGTGTAACCTTGAGTGATTCTCTAAGGTATATGCGCCAAGGCTTCACGACCCGTATACCAGGACATTTGAGCGATGCTCATCAGACACGTATCAGGTATACGGCCCGTGCACGCAGCAGATATGTTACTTGTACATATACCGGAGCGGATATGATGGGTGGGTCCCGCACGATATCACGGTCTACGGGTACAATATCATGCCAGCCGCATTCCGCTACAAAGACTCGCCCATACCCGCGGACATGTGGTATGGGTTGGACTACTGTTCTGGTGGTGCCAAGGCTGAGTTCTTGTGGGGATGGGTCTTATTGTCAAGTTTAGTCACTGTTTTGTACACACTTGTGGGGGGCAGCTCATGAGTCATGAGGCTTGTTATCTTTAGCTTGTTCCTGTTCCTGAATTATTCAGCCCATTTTTACAAGTACCTATGGTCTATGGTATGTATTTAAAAGTATGGGTGCTTGTGTATGTTTATTCTAATCTTGGGTACTTTGGAAGCAAACTGTGTATGCCCTTGACTTTGCATGTATTATTCTCTCTCTTTGACTTCACGGAGTTAAAAAAAGTGTTGAAAAGTATGGAGTAAAAAAATATGTTATTGCAATTTATTCAGAGAGGGGAGATAACATGTGAGCCCTATATTTTTTCTTGATATGAATAAGGAGAAGTTTATGTAGGTGGGACGGAAAAGGAAATTGTGAAATTTATTTTAAGATACTGAAGAGGAAGTTGTGAAATTTATTTTAAGATGGAGGGACTACTTGTTTAATATGGTTTATGCTCTAGAACAATTTGTCAAAGCAAATCCTTTGTGGACTAAGGTATTTTTGTTTTATTGATTTAGGCTCTGTTTGGCAATCGTGTTTTCAGTTTAGTAACTTTAATCCAAAAGAATGATTCATATTAAATTGGTTATATGGACATCCAAAATAGTTGTCATATTATCCGACAGATTGAGAGGTCTCTATGATGTTCCGTTTAAAAAATTGATGGTTCATATCCTCAATAAATTTTTCCATCCCTGCCTACCCTGAACCCATCCCCAACCCAATCAATTAAGCCCCCAATTTTAGCTGATTTTGAGGTCAAATGGTGCAATATTACACTTAATATTTACTTATTTTTTTTCAAATTAAATTCTGTCTATTATAAAATAATACGGAGTAAAACATTATTTTATTATATTTTTGGGTTTATTTTTTTCTTTCAGGTTTATTATATTTTTCGTTCGGGATTATTAGTTTTTTTGTTCTTTATATTATACTGGGTAACAATTAAATTAAAAAGGCACAAACTACATGAGTTAAAAACAATTCCAATTGCAATACTTAAAATAAGAAAAATACATGATAACACAAAAAAACTAAACATAGGAAAAGATAATAAAGAAAATCTAAAGATAGATAAACATTTAAAAAAACTAGCCTTCAAATGTTTATCGAGACATAGTTTATACTAAAAACGTATTTCAGTCGAAAAAATAATAATAAAATATAATTCTTTCACTCTAGAAGTGTTTAGGTTGGATTACTTTTGTCCCCTTGATAAATTACAGCTACTTTTTTTGCAAGTGTTGGATTACTTTTGTCCCCTTGATAAATTATTGTTGTCCACATTCATTTGTTTTTGAGAGGGGGAGCATGCGGAAGGGACTAATCCCAATTTGTTTAAGCTCCAGCTGCACCCATCAAAAAACTAACAACCCAATAGAATTCCACAAAAGCAGAGTCTGGGCCGTAAAAAAAACAATGTACTCCGTATTAAAGCTTAAGGAGCATCAGGCGCAAATAAATTGCGATATTAAAGAGTTGCATAAACCTTTAATAACATGTCTCTGATTATCACATAACATTAAATAGAATAAGTTAAGGGAGAAGATATAATACAACTAAAGAATAATAAGTACGGTTTTCGGTTTAAGCTTAGTTGACAATAAATTGAGCACAACAGAGAAAACACGAGGGCACATTACATTTTCCCACACAAACCAATCATAGACATCACCAATTGGTGCCGAAGTTACAAATCACAAGGACAAATCACAAGCATAGCATTCTCCTAGTAAATTACTTACTCCATAAAAAATAATAGTATCTAAGAACCTGTATGCCACATTCAAGGGCAAGAAAACCTGACCGCTGCCCGCAAAACAAGAAACGACACAACCAAATTCTGTTTACCCGAATCTGAAACCGCCTGCAGGAACACTAGGTTGGTTATTCCCAAAGCTAAAGCCATGCTGATTTTCATGACTGGGGAGGTCATGAAGCTGCTCATCATCGTCCTCTACATCTGCCCAGTATTTATCCAAGATCTTCACAGCCTTTTCGTAGATCTCATTGTTGTCATGGGTTTGGAGAATATCAATCTTGTCTAAACCCTCGCATTCGTCGACCATTCGAGCATATAAATTGATCCCGTCGTTCAAACCCATTTCTTTGTCGGCCTCGCCTACCCTCAGAATGTTCTCGAGCCCCTCAAGGCACACAGTCACAATTCTCAGGTCTGGGCATAACAGGAGATCACAGAGCGGCTTGATGCAGCCACTACTAGCCAAGAACCTGTAAAAGCAAATGATAAACATAGCGCTAATCAATTCATCAAAAGTTATTCAAAACTTTTATGTGAATCTGTTGATGAGACTCTGCAAATCAAGGTAATAGAAGAAATCACAAGGAGAAAAGCCCATTGCAATTAGAACATGTTTCGGTGGAAGACCCATGCAAACTATACAGCTTCACAAGTACAATTTGAATCATAGAAAGTATACAACCTCACAAGTACAATTAGAACTGTAGAAACTACACAAGTTAAGCTACAAGCAGTGTTACCTAATTTGATCATGAGAACCTCCAGAGGTGGCATTAGAAATAGCCCATGCAGCCTCTTTCTTGATGTCAAACTCTGCATTTTGAAGGAGATACACCAAAGGAGCAACGATATTTGCCTCCATAACTGCCTGTTAAAAGATCAACCTACAAAGATTACAACCATGACAAAAAACACAAAAAATCTTACAAGGGACAAATACCAAATATTGGAATACATCATTACGACCTTAGAACCATAACACAAAGAGTTATGAGAGTAATTTGGTTCAACAACTAAATCAATCGCTGTTCTTTTCACCTTCTATATCTGTTTCTTTAAATATTACTTTTTCATTTTTAACTAGAAATACTCCGATAATACCAGACCAGACTAGAAATATCTTGATCATACCAGACCAAAGAGATTCAGGCAACACCATACATACGAGTTACATTTCAGACAATAAAATTAGACAAGATTATAAGCATTCAAATCAAATCAGACTACAAGTATTCAGAATAGTACGAAACAATTTGAAAAGATCAGACCAGAAAGATTTAAACCATACAGATCAGATATTTAATTATTAGATCACATTTTTCAGACAGAGAAAAGTCCTTAGTCATTATACTTCTTTATTCTTGATATTAAAATTTGTTTGTCACTTCACCATTATGTTCATCAATAATATTAAACCGTTAATGCCACCAATACCAACAAGTTGGGAACTCAGGATTAAGGTGATATGTGGCAATCAAATACAAACTCAACATCTATAATTGATAATTTAAGTCTCCCGACGTGGTTGGCCATCTTGGTTGATACAAGTATTATATTTTTACACTAAACTATTTCCATCCTCACTCCTAATATAAAGTCCATGTTTGGATTTGAGAGGGCTATTAAGAAAGAGACATTGTGTTCAGAATTATTTGAAAAGGACAAACACACACACACACACACAATTTTTTCTGAAAAAAAAGATGAAGTTTATTGTTAGGCTGCAAGGGAAAAGTGAAGTTTAGATTGGGATGGAAGAAGGTACGGATTAGAAATTAATTATATTCAACAGCCCTGAGTGTGCGTTCAAATAATGGGTTAGGTTACAGACCC